TTCAATTCCACTAAGTAGTTCTGGGTTATGTTACAGAGGTTAGAGAAGCAGATCCACGCTAACTGAAGACATGTCTTTAATCCGCTCTGAATCTACAGATGTCCTCTGAGGCACTTTCCTAAATTAACCTGAAATGTGCAGCCGGTCTCAGGAATTACTTACAATGATATTGAAAGAGAAAGAGAGAGACAAAAAGCTACCCGTGTATAGCGCTGTATTAGCCACAAGCTAATCAGATTTAGAACCAGTTCAAACTACAATCAAGCAACTTTTTTTAATGAACCTGATCGCTCATGTATGGCTTCGAGACATTTCCTTTCAGAAGAGACGTATAGCATAAAATACATCATTAATAATTATATCATGTAAGTTACATCCACCGTGTGGCAATTTCAGTGTGAAACGGGAAAGAGCTTTGAGATTGACTGTATAAATAGACTTAACAAGAAATCTGAGGTATATTTTTATATAGTCACATGGATTACTTTAATTATGTCTTTACTGCTTTTCTGGGGCTTAAAAGTGGTAGTTGCGTAGCTGTCAATGGAGGGACAGAAATCTCTAAGATGTCATTAAAAAGATCTTCATTTGTGTTCTGAAGATGTATGTCATTTTTGGGTGAACTAACCCTTTAACATGCATGATCAAGAATTAAATGAATCCCGAGCTGCATGAGTAATTAAGTGAAGCTTATGACTGTAAACGCTTTTAAATGCATATTTTTTTTAAAATGCTTTTAAATGTTATATATAGTGCAGGCAGCTCTGCTTATATAATACTCTCAGATCAACATCATCTTATATTACCACCAGATGTGTCGCCAAACAGCACACACACACACACACACATATACGGGGAAACATAAACATACTTCATGGCAATTTGCAAACGGACAAATGGACTTGGACATGAACATCAAGATTTTAATGTTAATGTAATTTTTCAACACATTCTCATCCCAAAAATCATATAACTGACGTCTTGGGACGTATTTTGACCATACGTCAATATCCGCCTTTTTAGGGCCCCCTTAAACGTCGGTAGATGGCGATCCCGGGCCGTCATACAACCGACGCTTTACCTTTAACATCAGTTAGGTGACGGGTTAGGTTTAGGTCTGGGGTAGAGTTAGGATCCCATAACCTCATCTACCGACGTTTAAGGGTACCCTAAAAAGGCGAATATTGACGCATGGTCAAAAGACGTCCCAAAACGTCAGTTATATGACTTTTTGGGATGAGACTGCGTTGAATTTTTCTATACATGCATTTGTTCATGGGAAAGTATATTTTAGATGTGAGTTTTGCCTTAACAAGTTAATTTTAAAAAATGGAAAACACTCTGTGTCGTCTCTCAATTAAAGAGTCCATGAAAAAAGGTATTTTATTTGTCATTTGAAATGTGCTGTTTAGATTTTGATATTTATTCAGCTATTTTGACGCAATCAGTTCCAGTCAAATAAGCAAAGCTTATTTAATGCTCATTAATGCTGAAAATCTTTCTTTTGTGGAGGCGTCATATCGCAGGACTGAATAGATGAACACAGAAGTAAATCCACATACGTGTTACAAGTTTAATATAAACAGGGGAAACTCTCTTCTCGAAGTATACAAGCTGGAATCCTGATTAAAAACATTTTAAAGGATCCTTCAGTAGTAAATTTAGCAAATTTCTGATTTGATTCTATACAATGGAGCTCCTCCCTAAAAACGTCCTCGTATAATTGAAAAGCCACTGGATGTGCAATGATTTTAGGTTAATATGTAAATTCAGAGCGAGACATTTTTGAAAACAGATTCAGATTCGATTTTTTTTTCTTTTGCAGTTTAGCCAGGAGACACAATATGTCACAGTCTTCGTCTTCACCTGTTTGTCTCGTCATCTGCACCACGCTTCCCCGGATCCTTTTGTTTCCTCTCCTGATCTCACTCCCTCATCAGCCACCTGTTCCTCGTCTGTTCGTCATCATTTTCACCTGTTTGCACCCCATTTAGTTTGATTCCTCTGTCTATTTAGTTCGATCTTATTCAGTCTGTCTTGGTCAGTCGATGTTTATGTTACCCGATGTGTGCTCCTGTTTACCTGCCTTCCTGCCTGTATGTTTAAAATAAACCCGTGTTTGATGTCAATCTGGATTCCTCCCGCTCCTTCGTCCTGCACTCCTGCACCCCTGCACCACACCCCGTGACAGATCGACTGACCTCGATTTAACTGAGAGTGATGGACCTTCCAGCGGTGAGCCTCCTCTGTTTGGACCAGGAAGACCGCTCCCTGGAGTCCCATACCAGGGACTTTCTGGAGTTGGCGTTCCACACCCACTACCCGGACCGCTCGCTGTGTGTTTTCTACATCGCCAGCCTCAGCGAGCGGACCCGGGCACGCCTCCCAGGGAGCGGTCCAGCCGATGACTTCCTTGCCTGTGTGGAGTGGGTGCTGGTGTGCTGTGAATCCCCATTCTACGTGGAAGAAGTCACCAGCACCACTCCAACCCCTGAACCCTCATCTTCTCTGGTCACCGTCAGCCCAGCCGAGTCCGCGCTCACCGTCAGCCCTGCCGAGCCCGCGCTCACCGTCAGCCCTGCCGAGCCTGCGCGCACCGTCAGCCCTGCCGAGCCCGCGCGCACCGTCAGCCCTGCCGAGCCTGCGCGCACCGTCAGCCCTCCCGAGCCGAACCTCCCTTCACCGCTGGTTCCGTCCAGCTCTCCAGAGACTAAAGGCTCTTCACCGCTGGTTCCGTCCAGCTCTCCAGAGACTAAATGCTCTTCACCGCTGGTCCCGTCCAGCTCTCCAGAGATTGAATGCTCTACCCCGCTGGTTCCGTCCAGTTCTTCAGAGACTAAATGCTCTTCACCGCTGGTCCCGTCCAGTTCTCCAGAGATTGAATGCTCTACACCGCTGGTTCCGTCCAGTTCTCCAGAGACTAAATGCTCTTCACCGCTGGTCCCGTCCAGCTCTCCAGAGTTTGAATGCTCTACACCGCTGGTTCCGTCCAGTTCTTCAGAGACTGAATGCCCTTCACTGCTGGTCCCGTCCAGCTCTCCCGAGTCTGAATGCTCTTCACTGCTGGTTCCGTCCAGCTCCCCAGAGACTATATGCTCTTCGCGGCTGGTTCCGTCCAGCTCTCCAGTGTCTGAATGCTCTTCCCTGCTGGTTCCGTCCAGTTCTCCCGAGATTGTATGCTCTTCACCGCTGGTTCCGTCCAGCTCTCCAGAGACTTCATGCTCTTCGCTGCTGGTCCCGTCCAGCCCTCCAGAGACTGAATGCTCTTCACCGCTGGTTCCGTCCAGCTCACCAGAGACTGTATGCTCTTCGCTGCTGGTTCCGTCCAGCCATCCAGAGACTGAACGCTCGTCACTGCTGGTTCCGTCCAGCCCACCAGAGACTGAATGCTCTTCACCGCTGGTTCCGTCCAGCCCACCAGAGACTGTAAGCTCTTCACTGCTGGTTCCGTCCAGCCCACCAGAGACTGTAAGCTCTTCACTGCTGGTTCCGTCCAGCCATCCAGAGACTATATGCTCGTCACTGCTGGTTCCGTCCAGCTCACCAGAGACTGTAAGCTCTTCACTGCTGGTTCCGTCCAGCCCACCAGAGACTGTAAGCTCTTCACTGCTGGTTCCGCCCAGCCCACCAGAGACTGTAAGCTCTTCACTGCTGGTTCCGTCCAGCCCACCAGAGACTGTAAGCTCTTCACTGCTGGTTCCGTCCAGCCCTCCAGAGTCTGTGTGCTCTTCACTGCTGGTTCCGTCCAGCCCTCCAGAGACCGTCCAGACCGTCCAGCCAGAGACCGTCCAGACCGTCCAGCCAGAGACCGTCCAGACCGGCCAGCCAGAGACCGTCCAGCCCGTCCAGCCAGAGACCGTCCAGCCCGTCCAGCCAGAGACCGGCCAGCCCGTCCAGCCAGAGACCGGCCAGACCGTCCGGCCAGAGACCGTCCAGACCGTCCGGCCCGAGACCGTCCAGACCCTCCAGCCCGAGACCGTCCAGACCGTCCAGCCCGAGACCATCCACTCCCCATCTGCCCTTCACCCGGGGCCTCAACCCAAATATTTTTTGGGGGGGGCCCAGTGTCCCAGCCACGGCCGCCTGAAGGGCTCTCACCGCCGTGGCCGCCGGAAGGGCTCTCACCGCCGTGGCCTCCCGAAGGGCTCTCACCGCCGTGGCCTCCCGAAGGGCTCTCACCGCCGTGGCCTCCCGAAGGGCTCTCACCGCCGTGGCCTCCCGAAGGGCTCTCACCGCCGTGGCCTCCCGAAGGGCTCTCACCGCCACGGCCTCCTGAAGGGCTCTCTCCGCCGTGGCCACCCGAAGGGTCCTCGCATCCTGCTCCGCCCTGGCCACGCCCTCATCCTGCTCCGCCCTGGCCACGCCCTCATCCTGCTCCGCCCTGGCCACGCCCTCATCCTGCTCCGCCCTGGGGGGCTTCCTGCGCCTGACCACGTCCTCCACGGCCTCCAGGGCGCCCACCCCCCCTCCCCGCTGATGTTACGGCGTGAGGTCACGCCTACCGGGAGGGGGGAGTGATGTCACAGTCTTCGTCTTCACCTGTTTGTCTCGTCATCTGCACCACGCTTCCCCGGATCCTTTTGTTTCCTCTCCTGATCTCACTCCCTCATCAGCCACCTGTTCCTCGTCTGTTCGTCATCATTTTCACCTGTTTGCACCCCATTTAGTTTGATTCCTCTGTCTATTTAGTTCGATCTTATTCAGTCTGTCTTGGTCAGTCGATGTTTATGTTACCCGATGTGTGCTCCTGTTTACCTGCCTTCCTGCCTGTATGTTTAAAATAAACCCGTGTTTGATGTCAATCTGGATTCCTCCCGCTCCTTCGTCCTGCACTCCTGCACCCCTGCACCACACCCCGTGACACAATATAAATGCAGAAACAATTAATATGAAAATGAGGATGGTAAAATAAACTGAGATAGCAGTGTTAAGTGAGAACTGAAACCATATTTGAACATGTTGTGTTTCAGAGAAGTGTGAAGCTCGAATGCAGGACTTACATGAGTGGCCTTTCCATACGACTTCCCTGAGATCCCACCATCTCTCCCAGAGTACAGTACATCTGGCCCAGGAAGTCCTGCACACACACACACACACACACACGGTAAGAATGGGAGCTAAATGATCATTTCAGGATTTTGGGCCTGATATCTCAGTACACTATCCAACATGAAATCAAAATGGACCCTTATTTATCATGAAAAATAAGATATTATATGAATTCTTATATTCATTAGTTAAATTGTTTCAGGGGAAACATTCAATATATATATATATATATATAATATGCACAAATGAATCAACCACAATAAGATCAGGAATGTGTATTAATAAGCTCCACAAATATGTGACAGAAGTGTGAAAGTCAAATGGGTTGTGAACTTGTTATGCCTGTAAGCTGGTATTTGTCATCTACATTGTACATTTTTTTGACCCCAAGCAAATTACACCACTATATATGTTTACTAGGGCTGTGCAAAAGTTAATTGCGATTAATCGCATCCAAAATAAAAGTCTGTGTTTACATAGTATATTTGTGTGTGCTGTATATAATTATTTTGTATATATAAATACACACACATGCATGTCTATGTTTAAGAAAATGTGTTATTCCTATATAAAATATTTATATTTATATAATATAGATTATGTATTTATATATATATATACAGAATTTAAGCGCAAATAATTCTTAAATATATACATGCATGCATAGGTATTTATATATACAAAATAATTATATACAGCACACTCAAATATATTATGTAAAACAGACTTTTATTTTGGATGCGATTAATCGCAATTAACTTTTGCACAGCCCTAATGTTTACATTATACTTTAGTGTGTGTGTGTGTGTGTATAATTTGAAAGTCCTGGCCTGGGATAGAGGTACATACTTTTTATAATGAATAAAAAGAAAATTATTTTTTTTATTTATTTATTTAATACGGAGACAGTTTTAATTTGACAAATGTGGGGACATAAAGAAAAAGAACACATATGTTTCAATACTAATCAACATAAAAGTGCCTGAAAAAACAAGTATATGAATGAAAATATGATCTTGGCTGCTTTTTGGAGATGGAAAGGCAGACGTTCTCCTGAGAGCTGATTTGAATGTCTGTGCCCAGCATGTCTGAACATCGATCCCACAGGTGCACTCTGGGATATAGTTTGACCTGTGGTTCTGACCCCACAAAATGCTTGAATAAATCACAGTAAAACCTCCATGATGAGGGTCAAACAAGCTGTCTATACTATAGGACCACACATATAAACACAAGTGCAAAATATAACAACCAATGCACAAATAGCCACACAAACAAACACACTTGGTCACACTTTACTTGAAGGGGTGTGCATAAGACTGACATGACACCTTCATTACCATGACATGACATATGTTATGAAAGTAGGGTTTATGCATGTTTGTGACAACTGTCATTTTTAATGCAAATATGACATTGTTTAAGATGTCCTTGTTATGACACCTTGACATAAACCAATACATCATAACCTGTCAGTGTCTTTGTCATGACAACTTGACATTAAATGAAGTTAAACTGTCATGTGTTTGGCTTTGACATTGGCTGTCATGAGTCATTATAACTGTGTCATGATTATTTTTCGTGACCTCAACTACAGTGGTACTACTTGAATTTGTCATTAAAAAGTTATAATGTCTTCATGACAGCCAATGTCTAAACCAACCACCTGACAGTTTAATGTAATGTTAACCAATAAAGCTATAGGTGCTTTCTGAAGTTTGATCTATGTCATGTTTATGGCAGGTTGTGTTGTCTTAGTAATGTCATCATGACAGACAAAGACGCTGACAGGTTATGATGTATTGGTTTATGTCAAGGTGTCATAACAAAGACATCTCAAACAATGTCATATTTGCATTAAAAATGCATACAACTTCCTTCATATTCATAACATATGTCATGTCATGATTATGAAGGTGTCATGTTAGTCGTATACACACCCCTTCAAGTAAAGTGTTACCACACAGTTTTACATTTACAAGCAAACACTTACATGTTTGGACAGGTTTTCACTCTTTGAGTCAAGGTCATACCTAGAAAATAAGGAAAACTCGGTGAAAAACACTGAATGAAACACTAGTAGAGATTGAATGTGTCATTTCTGTGGCAGTTACCTTTCACCTTCACGAATTTCAAAATATTTCCATATTTAGCATATCTTTCTACTTTCATTACACGACATTGGCAGAACAGGTAAACTCCTCTACTCACTAGTCTGCTTTATACTTTCCATACTCATGGAAACTATTCTAGCTCACATTTTCCAACTCGTAGTTTATAAAATTATTGAACGAGTTGTCGGAAGCTTAATGATGGTGATTTTGAAGTCATGCGACCCTGGTGTAGTTTGAGGACACACGACAGGAACGAGCACGATTGACAATGGAATGAGAGGAAACTTAAGTTGAGTTGATTTATTCATTTACGATGAGTTGATATCGCGTTTTATTTTTGCTCTCGCTAAGATTTTCTCGCCCCTCGCTCTCGATTTTTAGACGATACCGAAGCATTGTTAGGTTGGGTATAATCTGCGACCTCTGACCCAGTTTGTTTGCTGGCTTCCATGCCTAAAATATGCTGTTTTCCACCAACCTGTGGTGGCGAAATACTCTTGGGTAAATTGGCAACTTGCGGTATCGCACAGACCAAAACTAAAACAGAGACGCCGTACGCACATTTCAAAGTAGAATAACTGGCTAAGAGTGTTTTTCAGAGACACGAGTATGCGAAATCAGAATGTTTCCTAAATATTTGAAAACATATTATGGGATTTTTATGCTTTACTACAGTCAGCACCTTTAACTTCTGGCAGTTGTATGTATGATCAAAACGTCTAGTTTTCCAGGATAAAAAAAAAAAAAAAACTAAACAGTGTTATCAAAGTTGATATTGTGCCTTTATAAATGATCATTTACTTGCAGGTGTCATTATATTATTAACATTTTTCCAAGTTCAAATGAAGTGAATGTGAACGGTTGGATCTGAGGAAGTAAGTGCATTGCATTATGCTTTCATGAACTTGCAGATTATAAAGTTATGGGCGCATTTGGCCAAAATCTCATGTTATTAAATATGAAGTGCTACACAAGACGGCATTAGCTGTGACTCCAAGACAAAAGCTACTTCTCCGCTCCTCAAATACATAAAACATTAGCCTTTATACAGTGTTTCTTGAGTAAAGAAAACGCTGTACTTATTAAAAGAACGGTAACACTTTAGAATACGGTTCCTTCGTTAATGAATAAATACACAAGAACCAATGAGTAACAGAATAATAATCGAGTAACTATTATTAACTAACAAGAAACTCTGATTAAAGAACTAATACTTTATAATACGGATCCAAATAATTAGTAATTCCCACAGAAGTATCTAGTAACACTTTATTACTTACTAATTCGTTAATAAGAGTTTATTTTAGTTAATAGTAGTTACCAGATTGTTAATAAACTTTTTCAGTAGTTCTCTGGGAAGTATTAAAAAAATAGAAGTTATAGATTACTTAATAGTGAACTACCACTTTCGTCTGTGCGCTATTACTTACTAGTTCGTTAATCAGAGTTTCTTGTTAGTTAATAATAGTTACTAGATTGTTAATATTGTGTTACTCATTGGTTCCTGTGTAGTTATTCATTAACGAAGGAACCGTACTCTAAAGTGTTACCGAAAGAACCAGTCGTTTATTTACGCTTGCATTGCAAACAAGCAGAGACGTTGCAACTCCAAACTGCCCTTCTTTCACGACAGAGACGGGACGGAGATGAGGTTTGATTGACAGATTGAGGATCCAATGGAGTTGCGAGATTTAGTCACAAGCTCTTTTTAATGTTTCATTTGTTAAAAACTTGCAAAACCATCAGACTGATGTAGAGGGTGAGCAATAGTAATGATTTATGGGAAAAAAATGCCTGTCTGCAATAAACCAAAGCCAATTATAAAATCCTATTGGATTTTTTGTTGAGGGAATCAGGCTGCTGCTAACTTGCGAGTTGGCCCAAAAAAATCTGTGATTGAGTGATTCCAACACACTCTCATGGCAATTCAATGCTTTGTCGAATTGGTATTCCTTCCAAAAACTGCACACTTTCCCTTTCAGTCATGTGTTTTACTGGTTGTTTTCTGTCCGACGCTGCCTCTGTATTCTCGTGACATTCTGAATGAACACGAGCCCGTTGTTCACCGGCAGCTTAAATGAAGCCTCGGCGGGGGGCAAGCCTACATGTTTGAGGAGAGATCTGTCATGTTGGGATACATGTTATTTTCCTCCCAGCGTGAATCTACACTCTTGGCTGTCTCTCTCTTTGTCTGTATGTCTTATTCGTCGTCCCGCTGTGCTAAATGAGCAACGTCAGCACATGTGCGGATATTTCAGGCCACGCAGGAGAGACCACTGAGATCGAGACACGCTTTTACCTGACCAAAACATTCATGTTGAAATCTCCTGTCATGTCGGTATACACTACATGTTTTACTTTAGCTGTGCTGTGATGTTGTGTGTGTGCTAACTTTGTGTCAAGAATACCACACACACATACTCAACACAGTCTACAGGAGTTTAGTTTTTGGCTTGTGCTGGCTATTGCTATGGAAATTACACTGAATACAATGGACAATGGACAGCTTGCGCAAAATTGGAGCGCGCTGGTTAATTCGCATGGCACGAAGGCACAATAAACTGGATTTCAGTCAGATTGGGGGGTGGGGGTGGGGCAAATATAGATAAACCAACCCGATCACACTAAATGCGTCTCAATAGAGCATCACAGTCCCGCCCACAGCCGGTGCCGGAAGTAAAAATTCAATACAATTTCTCCATTGACAGTTGGGATATGAGCCATTAAAACGTAACCATACATGGTAGACTTAAAACCAGCTACGGCTGTAACAAGCGATAGTATATGCTCATTTAAACGCCAAAAGTTCATGGGGCGCTATCCTTGTTTTAAGATAAATGCCTTTTATTCGCGATGTATTGGATAAGTACTTCATTACCCACAATCCTGAACAATTCCACAATCCCACTGTGATGCATCTGATTGGTGGAAGTCGTGTAACGTGTCTGAAACCCCGCGAAGGTGCGTGAAGACTGAAGATCGCGTGATGACGTAGGGCTAAGTTCATTGGTCGCACCTCTGAGACGCCCCCGCGCCATTGGATGTGCAGTTGCCACAGCTTAGCCTATGAGCGAGCCTGATGCTCAATGTTTTAGCATGTGCATAAGCTTCAGTAAATCGAGGAAAAGCCGGAGTTTCTCTGCACATTCACTATATAAAATTCACCGGAGGAAAAAGTTCACGTGGCCGTCGTCAGATTTGGAAGTCGCTCAAAAGGCTCTTTCACGGTGGCTTTCAGACGTCTTCAGTGAGGCGCAAGGGTTTATGGGACGAGTAGTTCCTTTGCTCGGAAATGAAAATATGTATACAGGCTTGTACCCTTGACTTTTTGGGGATTTTCTCTTCGTTTTTTCACTCGAAATGATTGTATGCATATGAGTTCAGCCGTAGCTGGTTATCCTCAGACATGCTCTAATACTCTTTAGATATGGATTTTACAAAATGTCAATGGGAGAAATGAAAGGGAAATTTACTTCCGGCACCAGCGCTCTCTCGGGCCGTGGGCGGGACTGTGATGCTCTATTGCACGCAGTGTGTTTCATGCAATTTATACGCGTAAGTGAGTTTTTACGTACGTAGGATACGCATGGGTTGGTTAGGGTAGGTTTAGTAGGGTGCGTGTGTATTATACATTTGGATAGAATTAGTGGAGTGGGGTTATAAATTGCACGATAATACACAATGCGTGCTATAGAGATGCATTTACGTGAAAACAGGCTGGATAAACGTGTCAATTATTATTTATTTTACATTTTTATTATTAAAATATGTTTTTATACCATGGTCTGGGTGAATACTGGATTCTGATTGGCTGCAGGGTGTCCGTTAAAAACACCTAGTAAAGTAGTTCTGGTGAAACTGCCTTTTTACCATTCGAAATGGGCCACAAGAGAAATATAATAATAATAAATTAGATGAATCTCTCATCGTCTCTAAGAGTATATGCACCGTTACTGCAGTGTTAGATGCCATAAGCTCGGTCAGTTTTTACTTTTACTTTCTGTAGTGAAGAATTGCCTGGGGTTTGAGATTTCTTTGCCAGCATAACTCTTGCACATTGCTTGTGTGATATCCACTGGCTCGCCTTCATGGTTTAAAATGGAAATATTTTCAGTACTATTGTGACATGACATTTCCCTTTCAAGGGAACTTGCACTGCGTCATAGTATTGACACGTTGGAAACGCCTCTGTGTGAGTGTGTCGTAAGCATGTGTGTGAAACCAGTCCAATGGCGAAACTGGACGTCACGGGCATCTGGAAAGCCTCAGCGAGCGCTCTGTGTTGAACACTGTCTTATTTAGTTTTGTCTTTCCCAATATTGGAACAGAATCACTAGACAAGTTATTATAGCCCTGCCCTCACTTTATTATGAATGGGGATACACACGATTTGTGTGTTGTTAATTGAGCCAAGCACTTCTATCCCCGGTATTGCTACTGTTTTGTATATTGTCTGTTGTATTGTATTAATCAGAGTATAAATGGACACAAACAACCAGACCCATTCTAACCATAACCATTCTCCAGTCAAAGGGTCACAAAACCTCCCAACAGAGGAATTGTCCCGCTTGGAAATTGCACCTTTCCCATTGGTCAAGCCGAAACTCGAGAGGTGTGGCCTCTGTGTGTGCGGGATTAGAAACCTGGTCCAACAGTGAGGTTGCGGTCATAATAACAGAGTCAAACCAACAGGGAAAGTCATCTTTTCTTCTTTCAACGCAGAAGAAATCGATTGCAACTTCACTACCATCGGACCGAACCATCAATGCTCGCTCCAAGGCTAAGGCAGTGCAAGTATCGTACAGTTAACTGACTACACAGAGGTTTAGTAGGCTGAGAACCCCTTTATTAACAATGGTGTTTTTAAACTAATTGCTTCATCCCTCTGTTCTGTTCTGGTCATTCACCTTAATTTTTCC